AGATCATATAGCTTCCTTGTTTATCTTCTGATCACTGCATAGAGTTCAGCTAAGATGTTCACAAGAGACAAGTTAGCCATGGAGAACTTTTGCTCAGTAGAGAGAGGACATGTATTTATAATGGGCAAAATAATTCCAGTTTGAAGTGACGGTCAGTTAGGCTGCTGTATGTTTGCTTAATGAAACAAGAGTTTAGCGAAAAGCATTGCCTAGAAGTTGCTTGTCATTACTATGACAATTAAGTCACTCAGATTCATTTTCTACTGCTTGCACTTTACTTCACCCACATTTCCTCATTATGTAAGCAATATTCTGATCAATGCAGAAAGCAGAAGAGGAACTGAAATATTTGTGAGGCTGAGTTAGGTGCCCAGGACTTAAGTGTTTCCCTACTTGCCTCCTGCAGTGCATTGGTCTCGCACATGCTCCCATGCACACCCCACAAAGCAGCTCCACCTTCTTCACTTGAGCTTGCTGAGACTAATAGAACAAACTACGACCAGTCTCAAAAAAAATAAATTAAAAAAAAAGGAATTACTAATGCTCCTGGAGCATGAAAAAAAACAATAGGTTTGATTCCTCCACGAACACTCCGATAACACCTCTGCTCCATGACTCAGAAAGCAAAGGTTTGCGGAAGCCCATTTAAAACCTTTGTGGCAAGAATCCCAGAGTAATTTACGTAACTGACGTTCCAGAAACGTCTCATTTCATAGCTACGTTACCCTTCACAAGAAGGGTCAGCAGACCCTCACCCCCCTTTAATAACCTTTGAAGCCATGAGTCAGATTCGGTCTTTCAATCCTTCTCTACATTATACAGCTATATAGATATTCTGCCAGATTAGAGAGACTGTATTGGCATCTAGCACAGAAGATGGCAGCCAGACTTAAAAGTGAAACAAAACTCCACCAACACTATCCATTTTATTACACGGGATCCAGTGCCCATGCACACAACTCCGCAATTAGTTGGGATATTAGCTTTAGGAGTTGGGTTCTACATACAAGACACAATCACCCCAGAAGTTAAGGGACTAATTTTTAAAGGTGCTAAGAACCTGCTGGTCCCACTGATTTTATTTGGAGTGCTGGATGCTCAGACTCCAAAGGGGGGAGGGAAGGGGTGTATGTGTTTGGGGGGGGCCGGGGGTGATGACAGAAAAACAAACAAACAGGCCTTGAGACTTAAATTAGGCTACTAATGAGGGAGTAGGTGAGCACACATTAGTTTTTCTCATTCTCCCGTTGTTAGAAACAAACTTCATAGATAGGACTGATTTCCAAACATACTGGACACACGACCTCCACCACAAATAAAAAACCCCAAGACATCAGTTTCAGGTCAGCAGTATAACTCGAGTAATGTTGACACCGTCAACAGCCAGGCATGCAACACACAAGTGCAGTCTGTCCACAGGATTAGGCAGTAAATCCCCATCCTGCCAGCAGCATTGCGTGTCATTGAGACTGGCATTCATTTTTGCTCCTGTTAGAGTTTGCATTTAGTAATCAGGTATTATGAGGTCTTCCGATTCAAGAACAGACTCAAAGCACCGTGGTACTACAGCACTGTCATCTTCCAGATCTCAGTTACCACACCACAAAAGTCAGCCCTGAAAGCACAGTATGATAGCAGGCCTCTTGATCAAATCATTGTGGAACAAGTAACTCCCTCCTCTCCCACCCCTGTACGCGCACATGCGCTTTGATGACTCAAAACTTTACAACAGATGCTATTAGTTCACTTCAAGATGAATCCTTGGTCTATCCATGCACCCCAGATGTTCTAAGCCCACCGTAGATGGAGACCCTTAGCACTGCTGCTAACAGGCATGGTGAAGTATTGACCCAAATTCTCTTTTGCAGGGCTTGGCTGGCAAAGAGAAGGGGCAGCTGTGACCAATGACATTCTCTCAACAGAACATTTGTTGTTATGGTCATTGCTCAGAGGTTTCTAGTCAAGTTTCTTTCTCTATCATGAAAGACCTATCAAGAGGCTAAGTGTTAGGGACTGGTCAGTTTTAGCAGGAGAACCTCAGCTTGTGCACCCCGGTGAGGTGGTGGGTAGGCAGAGAAAAAGACAAGCTGTAGAATAAAGGTGCTGGGTCTAGTTACCATTAGTAGGAGCTCAGTTTCATAGCACACAGCCATAGGTGATTCTTTAATATTCAGTTTAGATGCTCCCCAAACTTGCACCTTTCCTTTTAAAAATTTGTAGCATAAGCCTGCAACAATGCATGTTTATGGCACATGCAGTATCCTGTCCATCTAAACAAAGATTGAGTTACTGCGGGTGGGGGTGAGGGAAGAGAGAGATTTAAGCAGGAAGGAAAGAAAAGTGTGTATGCGAGAAAGAAGTGTGTATATGAGATAGAACACCTGGGAATTTTAAATGTATGCCCATCCTAGCAAACTGGATTAGAGAAGTGTCAGTGTGCATGCTTTGAAGGGGAAGCAGTATAGTACTCTGATGGGGACATTTCGACTTGGGACTTTGAAGCTGGAACTGCGTTTTCATCTATGTTTGGAACAATCCTAGCACACTTGCGGCACTACTGCAATCTAAATAACAAAGGATTCAGAGATAAGGTGAGAGTTCCGGACTTCATTCTGTACTTCAGAGCATTTGTTAGGTTTAATTAGGCCCTTAAATGTTGGATAGACTGCAAGCTAGATACTCTCCATCCCTTAAAAAAAAAAAGATTATCTAGGGTCAAATATAGCTTAAGGAGCGGTTAATACGCTGATCTGACAGTTCATTACAATGCACTCAGTCTAGCAAGTATACTGGTGGATGGTTTTCCTACAAATCCTCAGGAAATTTGATTAGTTGTGCATGTGTAACTTATGTATTACACACATGAGAGATACAGGGAAGAGAAACTTTTGGGGGAAGTTAATTCCTCTCCAATATTGAGAAAGTAATACAGGCAAGACACTTCTAAAATGTGATTTAAAAGATGACAGTTGTACGGTTTGTTGTTTTTATTTGATACTTGAAGAACTCCCCCCTCACCCAAGGACTTGGTACAAAAGATTGCTTAAAAACTGATACTATTCAGCACTATGTTTTAGCCCAGGACTGGTTTGTACAGCCCAGCTGTACACCCACAAGGGGTCACCCCTGAGGGGCTCAGCAGCCTAAATATTGCAGTGAGATAGGCCAAATCAATGCAGCAGATTATGAATGGCAGCCTCAGAGCAGCACACAAAACCCACAGGATTACTGGGAATCTGCTTCTTTGCTTAAATAAAATAAATAAATAACTCCTGGCTGTTAGAACCACTGAAACCTGCTTGCAGACATGTTGATTGGATCAGGTGAGAAGTCCCTTCCTTCCCCCCTCCCCAAAAATGAATTTCTCAATTCCTTTAGCGCAGGGTTGGGGCAGAGAAGTGATCCGGAGCAGGGATCCTGGGTGCAGAATCCCTAATTGCATTCATCTGATCAATTTGGGGATTTTTATATCTTTAATTAGTAGGCAAGCCTACAGCGAGGCTTAGCTGCCATACTCCTCATCTGGGTGAGGTGGAAGAGGAGACCTGGGCACTTTCTTTGTTCAAAGGGAAACTTTGTGTGTGTTCGTATGTGGATACACACACACACACACAC